CGCGGCCCTGCCTTGGCGCCGCTCCTATGCGGCTGGGTTGCGTGCGAACTGGTGCGCGTGGCCGGCCGTGGGCTCTCCGTGACGGCGCGATCTGGGCGCGCTGTATCGCTGAGGGCCTGGAACTGGCTGCTGACTCTGATGTCGCTGCCGAAGTCGCTGCTAACGTGCTCCTTCTTTGCACGTTGCCTCTGGAACCTGCGGCGTCTCCGACTGTCAGCAACTGCTCGGGTTATGCTCCAGCGCTCGCCCAAAATACCTCTATCTTCTTCGCTGGAAGTGCTCTGGCCGCCCAGAAACGCAGCCGCTCCATCTTCCAGCATTGAGATGTTGCTTGCCTGGGAGACCACGTTGCCTCAATGTGCAAAGGCAGCCGGTAACGCATCCTTGCAGTCTCCCTTGGGGCTTGTGACCTGATGATCACTCTGGGCGGTCTCGGCGCGACTCCTTGCAGGCGGTGCGCTGTTGATGGGGGTTCTGCCTGGCGCTCCTTGAGACGCGGCAGTGCGCCTTGCCGGCCTTGGCGGTGTCACCATAGCCTCGCGACCTTGGCGACGGCAGGGGTGCCATCCGCGAGCGGTGTACGACGCCTCTCTGTCGCTGCTGCGGCTTGCACCTGCGATGCTGGGACGCTGGCCTCGCAAGACCATCTGCCCCGCGGGCTGAGAGAGGAAACGAACTTCTGTAATTGAAATCCAGCATTGCGTTGAGGACCCATTGAAGTTACTAGACGGCGATGCAAAACAAAAAAAAAAAAAAAACACCCGCCGCCGCGCCATCAGCAGGATGGGCGTGACCTGAGGCTTTGCCACTGCAGTGGACGACCCCGCTGTGCGCGCAGGCTCCCTCAGCCGAGAGCCTCTTGCCTCCGCTGCCGCTGGAACCCGATGCTGGCCAGCTCCCTGGAGGATGTGCACCAAGCCCGCAGCTGCCGCATCCTGCCGAGCTGGGCCCCTCGGCCAAGCCCTTGCAGTGAATTCGGTCATGCATGGCCTGTGGACGCGCGGCGCTGCTAGGCCGCCTCACCCCCCTGCGGGGGCTCGGCGGTGACTGCTGCTGCCAGCTCGTAGTCCTCGGGATCTGCAGGGGAGGAAGGGGCTGCCCCTGCAGCCCTAGCCTCGTCTCTTCTGCGGGCGACTCGGCCACGAAAACGTGCTATCCCTGTTTCGCCCGAGCCAACTCGCTGTCCCGTAGCAGCCCCGTCCGTCGCCTCTGTGGGGGATGTGGGCGCAGGTCAGCTGCCTCGTCAAGATGTCGATGCTGTCGCACTGGCGCTTGATGCTGCTGCCGGCGGCCTCCATCGCTGAGGGCCCGCGCAGTGTGTGCTGCGGGGCAAGCTCGTGATCCCCGCGTGCTGTCTGACCTCCAGGCGCCTTGTGAGCCCCAGGTGGCAGCGAGATCGTTGGCGACAGGGATGCTTCGGACTAATGCTCAGGCGAATATTGCATGCAAATGGCGGGCATGCCTTCTGTCATCCTCGGCGTCTCAGGGTCCGGCTGTCCTGGCGGTGCCGAGCTGGCCCTGGACGTGGATGCTAGGTCGGCGGTTACCTCGTCGCCCCGCAGCTCCTCGTCCTCGTCAGCTTGAGCTGCTTGCTGAGTTGGCGGCGTCGAGTCCTGGTCCACGTGTTGCTGCAGGCCCATTTCGCACTGCTCGTTCAGCTCCCACTGGGCATGGGCCTGGGTATTCCACCCGCGCCTCTCCTCCTCGTTCGGAGGGGTAGCTCTGTCTGGGCTCCTCGATCTGTGTCTCTGGCCCGCCCGGGTGTCCTCGCCGTTGTCCATCCGCGCGGGTGCTCGGCTGGGCGCGGCGGCGCGGGCGGCCAGTCTCTCTTCGGCCGCGCACGATGGTGATGCTGAGCGTGGCCTTGTTGGCGAATTAGGGCCTGGCCGCCGTTGTTGTGGGGCAATTCCTGCTGTCGCTTCTGCTGCTGCCGCTGCTGCCGCGTCCTGCCTGACCTGTTCTTCGTGCGCCCCCTCCGCTAGGATGGTGTCCGTGTCCGAGTCCTGTGACCCAGGTAGATGGCCTCCCTGCGAAATCCTGCGGGTCGCCTCCTTCGCCGCCGTGTAGGTGTTCATGCCGATCGCCCTGACTTCAGCGTAGAGCTGGACTGCCTCCTGATACTGCTCCTCGCGGCCAGCGCATTGGAGCTCGAGCATGCGCATGGGATGCCTCAGCTTGCCCACTGCGCTTGCTGTCTCTTGCCCTGTGCGAGAGATCCCCCATATTCTTGTGCATGCTTTCCGCCATGTCAATGCTGCGCTGCATGGACTCGCTGATGTACCTCTATCGTTCCTCCATTTGCTGTGAGGCCGCGTCTTCCAGCTCTGCAGCTTGCTCCAGGTCAACGAGGCGGAACTCCAGGGCGCGTGCCAGCTCGCTCGCCGCTGCCTCCTCCGTCTGCTCGAAGTCCATCCGCTGCTCGCCCAGCTGGGCCTGCAAGGCGAGTGTCTCGCGGCGCAGGCTGTCCGCGTGGATGTAGGCATCGCGCGCCGCCGCTTGTTCCGCCTGGGCATACTCCACCGCTTGGCGCGACACCAACTCCACGGAACGCTGCTCGGCCAGCAGCGTCGCCCTGCCCCTCTCCCCTGCCTCCTCGGAGACCTTCTGGGCCTTCTGCAGCGCGAGCTTGAGGGCCTGGACCTCTGCGTTGGGCTGTTGCAGTGTTGACGCGGCTGCATGTGCTGCCTCTGCCCTAGCCGCGGCCTCTGCCTCTCGCCAGACATGTTGCTTGAGCTCCACCTCGCTGGCCTCCAAGGCCTGCGCGCGTGCCGCCGCTTTCTCCATTGTCTTCTGCTGGTGGGCGGCGGTCTCGGTCAGCCTCTGCAGCTGCTGCTGCTCTGTGCTGGCGCTGCAGCTCTTCTTTGGCTTCCGGGAACTCTGCGTCGCGGCTGATCTTCATCGCCTGGCAGACCTACTGGGAAGTCTCGTCATGCAGTAGTTTCTGACGAGCTTGTAGCATGGCCTTGGTGGCCTCCTCCCTGGCGGCGGCCAGTCCCCGCTAAGCTTCACCCTGTCCCGCCAGGGGTTGTTCGGCAAGTTCGGCCTTCGCGGCCTCCAGCTGTGCGAACAGCCCATTGGCGCGGATTCGTTCTGCATTGACCTTCCTCTTGGCCTGGACGTATGCGGCAGTGCTGGCTTTGATGTCCCGCGCGGCTTAGCTTGCTCGCCATTGTGATGGAACGCCTGCTGCCTTGCGACCGCGCGATCTTCCTCCAGCCCCTGTCGGTGCCTCTCCTCGACTGCTTCTGCCTCCTTCGAGCCTCCTTCTCATCGTCTGCTTGCTGCTGCCGTTGTTGCTGAAGCATCTGCTGGCGCAAGGGCTGCCGTTGCTGCTGCTGCTGTTGCACCCTCTCGGCGATGCCCCCACTGCCGGCTGAGCTCGCCCTAGACCTCGGAGCTTTTGGCGCGGGTGATCTTCCTGCCGGCCACGAGGCCCCCCCTTCTGCTGGCGGCCCTTTGCCTGTTGTCCACGGTGATCTTGTGGTACCTGTCCCAGTCCAGAGCTGAAGACGCTGACCCCGTGCCTTGGTGCTCGCTCTCCTCCTCCTCGTTGTCGGCCAACCTGCCCTCGTCCGCGAATATGGCCTTCGTGTCGCGGAGGTTGGCCTCTACCAGTTTGAGGGCGTCCTGCCTGGCATGCAGCTCGGCCGTCGTCCTCTCGAAATTGGACTTGGAGCTGGCGGTCTTCTCCGGTAGGACATTGCGCCTCTTCCGGAATTCCTTGAGCTGGCCCTCGGGGTGCCTCGTGATCAGCCTCTGGTACTTGATGGTTGCCACCTCCTTCTCCGCCTCGGAGGTGTCGGAGCCCGCTCCGCGCGCAGCCAGCAGCAGGTTGCCCAACTGCCTGAGCCGCTGTTCCGTCTTCGCCAGGAACTTGCGGATGCCCGGCGCGTCGAAGGGCGGGGGGTCCCACCTGGGGAGGGCCATCGTTTCCTCGAGGAAGCACGCAACGATGGCATCCAGCAGCTTCTGGGCGCCCTTGTCCCCCTTTTGCGTGATCTGCTGTCCGCCCGTCTGGCCGCCCGCGTGGTCAGTAGGATTGCCTGCTGCGCCCCTGCTGGTCCCACGCCGCCGCGACCTGCCCTCCGCCGCGGCCTCGGCCCAGGGCCTCGCCTTTGCCTCCTGTTGGGCGGGCTGGCCAGCCTGGCGCGACTGCGACGCCGCCCTGTGCCAGGGCGCGTCCTCGCCTGCCGATGTGGCACTCCAGCTTGTGCCCTGCCAGCGCTCCTGGCGCCATGGTGGCACTGCTGCCGCTGCAGCCTCCTCCTGAGCATGGCCCTTGCCACTGCGACCCACGCCACCTCTGCCCTTCCCGTCACGCGCCATCGCAGGTTGGGCTGATAGGTGAGCGGCTAAACGCTCGGCCGCGGCTAAACGCGGCCGCGGTCCTGGCCCCTCTGCTGCCGCTCACTGCGGTGAGCAGCTCCCTCTGGTACTCCTCCTCGTCCTTGTCGCGGCGTCCCGACGCTGGGGCGGCGCGACCGACCCCGATGGATCGATCGGGATCCGCGGGCCCGCCAGAGGCCAAATGGCTTCCTCCTCCTCCCTCCTCCTCCTCCCCGTAGGGACCGGGCGTCCCAAGTGTCGGCGTGGACAGCGCGACTCCCGATAGAATTGGGTCCTCGCTCTCCCCCTGCTGAGCCGCGCGACTCCTCCCCCCCGCTTTCGGGCGCGGCCTAACCGACCCCTTAACAACCGCCCCCTTCCGTGACGTCATCCTCGCCTCTCGAGCTCCCCATCTCCCCTCCAGCCGCATGCCGACGCCCTGGGACGAGGCGAGGGGGGCGTCACGCAAGGGGATGGTCTGCCAGAGGTCGGTTGGGCCGCCATTGACTCGGGGGCGACGATGAGGGCGAATAGCCCAGGGGAGAGCAACACATGCATGAGGGCGCCGATGGCCCATGCCTCCAGCGATGCTCCCGAGCGAATGCGTGTAACGCCCGCCCCTGGCCTATTCGCCCCTATCGTCACCTCCGACTTGACCCTTTCGCGAGCTGCTTCTGCAGGCGCCGCTGGGGCGGAGTCTCGGCGGCGGCCGCGGCGGCGCTGGCGAAGAAGCGGCGCGCCCCTCTACTCAACCTCGTCCTACTCCTCCTCCAGAGGCGGACTCCTCCTCCTCCTCCTCCTCCTCCTCCTCCTCCTCCTCCTCCTCCTCCTCTTCCCCCTTCTCCTCCGGCAGCGGACTCCTTCTTTCCTCCTCCTCCTCCTCCTCCTCCTCCTCTTCGCCCTCCTCGCCCCAGTCCGCCCAGAGCACTGTGATCGGTATCCGGATCCGCCGCCCCACAAAGAGGGCCGGGGATGATCGATTGTCCTCCTGCTCCTCCTCCTCCTCCTCGTCCTCCTCCTCCTTCTCTCGTGGACTCGCTTGTCCGTTCTCCTGGCGGATGAAGATCTCAGGCCCCCAAGGCGCCCCAGCTGCGGCCCCAGCGAGGGTTCTCGCTTTCACGCACCCCGCCTTGTTTTAAGTCGGGCCTGTCCCCCTACAGGGGGATTTTCGACGACAAATTATGCTAACGGAGTTCCCCACATAAAGATGTTACGGGGTTCCATTGCTTCTTGTCTGCGCTCTGGTGGGGCCTCCCTGGAGGGGTGGGAGGGGCACGAAACCTGATAAATAATATGGTGTACGGATACCCTGCCCGCTCTGGTGGGGCCTCCCTGGAGGGGTGGGCGACACCTGATAAATAACATGGTGTGCGAATACCCTGCCCGCTCTGGTGGGGCCTCCCTGGAGGGGCGGGAACGGCACGAAACCTAATAATAAAATATGGCGTGCGAATACCCTGCCCGCTCTGGCGGGGCCTCCCTGGAGTGGCGGGAGGGGCACGAAACCTGATAAATAATATGGTGTGCGAATGCCCTGCCCGCTCTGGTGGGGCCTCCCTGGAGGGGTGGGAGGGGCATGAAACCTGATAAATCATATGGTGTGCGAATACCCTGCCCGCTCTGGCGGGGCCTCCCTGGAATGTTGGGAGGGGCGCGAAACCTGATAAATAACATGGTGTGCGGATGCACTGTCCGCTCTGGTGGGGCCTCCCTGGAGAGGTGAAGGGGCACGAAACCTGATAAATATCATGGTGTGCGAATACCCTGCTCGCTCAGGCGGGGCCTCCCTGGAGGGGTAGGAGGGGCACGAAACCTGATAAATAACATGGTGTGCGAATACCCTGCTCGCTCAGGCGGGGCCTCCCTGGAGGGGTGGGAGGGGCACGAAACCTAATAAATAACATGGTGTGCGGATACCCTACTCGCTCTGGTGGGGCCTCCCTGGAGAGGTGGGAGGCGCACGAAACCTGATAAATAACATGGTGTGCGAATACCCTGCTCGCTCAGGCGGGGCCTCCCTGGAGGGGTGGGAGGGGAACGAAACCTGATAAATAACATGGTGTGCGAACACCCTACTCGCTCAGGCGGGGCCCCCCTGGAGGGGTGGGAGGGGCACGAAACCTTATAAATAACATGGTGTGCGGATACCCTGCCCGCTCTGGTGGGGCCTCCCTGGAGGGGTGAAGGGGCACGAAACCTGATAAATAACATGGTGTGCGAATACCCTGCTCGCTCAGGCGGGGCCTCCCTGGAATGTTGGGAGGGGCGCGAAACCTGATAAATAACATGGTGTGCGAATACCCTGCTCGCTCAGGCGGGGCCTCCCTGGAGGGGTGGGAGGGGCACGAAACCTGATAAATAACATGGTGTGCGGATACCCTGCTCGCTCTGGCGGGGCCTCCCTGGAGGGGTGGGAGGCACGAAACCTGATACATATCATGGTGTGCGAATACCCTGCTCGCTCAGGCGGGGCCTCCCTGGAGGGGTGGGAGGGGCACGAAACCTGATCAATAACATTGTGTGCGAATACCCTGCTCGCTCAGGCGGGGCCTCCCTGGAGGGGTGGGAGGGGCACGAAACCTGATAAATAACATGGTGTGCGAATACCCTGCTCGCTCAGGCGGGGCCTCCCTGGAGGGGTGGGAGGGGCACGAAACCTGATACATAACATGGTGTGCGAATACCCTGCTCGCTCAGGCGGGGCCTCCCTGGAGGGGTGGGATGGGCAAGATACCTGCTAAATAACATGGTGTGCAAACACCCTTCCCGCTCAGGTGGGGCCTCCCTGGAGGGGTGGGGGGCGGCGCGAAACCTGATAAATAACATGGTGTGCGAATACCCTGCTCGCTCAGGCGGGGCCTCCCTGGAGGGATGGGTGGGGCAGGACACCTCATAAATATCATGGTGTGCGAATACCCTGCTCGCTCAGGCGGGGCCTCCCTGGAGGGGTGGGAGGGGGACCAAACCTGATAACTAACATGGTGTGCGAATACCCTGCTCGCTCAGGCGGGGCCTCCCTGGAGGGGTGGGAGGTGCACGAAACCTAATAATAAAATATGGCGTGCGAATACCCTGCCCGCTCTGGCGGGGCCTCCCTGGAGTGGCGGGAAGGGCACGACACGTAATACATAGCATGGTGTGCGAATGCCCTGCCCGCTCTGGCGGGGCCTCCCTGGAATGTTGGGAGGGGCGCGAAACCGGATAAATAACATTGTGTGCGGATACCCTGCCCGCTCTGGTGGGGCCTCCCTGGAGGGATGGGTGGGGCAGGAAACCTGATAAATATCATGGTGTGCGAATACCCTGCTCGCTCAGGCGGGGCCTCCCTGGAGGGGTGGGAGGGGCGCGAAACCTGATAATAACATGGTGTGCGAATACCCTGCTCGCTCAGGCGGGCCTCCCTGGAGGGGTGGGAGGGGCACGAAACCTGATAAATAACATGGTGTGCGAATACCTGCTCGCTCAGGCGGGGCCTCCCTGGAGGGGTGGGAGGGGCACGAAACCTGATAAATAACATGGTGTGCGAATACCCTGCCCGCTCTGGTGGGGCCTCCCTGGAGGGGTGGGAGGGGCACGAAACCTGATAAATAATATGGTGTGCGAATATGGGGTGCGAATACCCTGCTCGCTCAGGCGGGGCCTCCCTGGAGGGATGGGTGGGGCAGGAAACCTGATAAATATCATGGTGTGCGAATGCCCTGCTCGCTCAGGCGGGGCCTCCCTGGAGGGGTGGGAGGGGCACGAAACCTGATAAATAACATGGTGTGCGAATACCCTGCTCGCTCAGGCGGGGCCTCCCTGGAGAGGTGGGAGGGGCACGAAACCTGATAAATAATATGGTGTGCGAATACCCTGCTCGCTCAGGCGGGGCCTCCCTGGAGGGGTGGGAGGGGCACGAAACCTGATAAATAACATGGTGTGCGAATACCCTGCTCGCTCAGGCGGGGGCCTCTGGAGGGGTGGGAGGGGCACGAAACCTGATATGGTGTGCGAATGCCCTGCTCGCTGGAGGGGTGGGAGGGGCACGAAACCTGATAAATATCATGGTGTGCGAATACCCTGCTCGCTCTGGCGGGGCCTCCCTGGAGGGGTGGGAGGGGCGCGAAACCTAATAAATAACATGGTGTGCGGATACCCTGCTCGCTCAGGCGGGGCCTCCCTGGAGGGGTGGGAGGGGCACGAAACCTGCGAATACCCTGCTCGCTCAGGCGGGGCCTCCCTGGAGAGGTGGGAGGGGCACGAAACCTGATAAATAACATGGTGTGCGAATACCCTGCTCGCTCAGGCGGGGCCTCCCTGGAGGGGTGGGAGGGCCGCGAAACCTAATACATACCGTGGTGTGCGAATACCCTGCTCGCTCAGGCGGGGCCTCCCTGGAGGGGTGGGAGGGGCACGAAACCTGATAAAGAACATGGTGTGAGGAAAGGCATGGTATGGTATGGGATGGTGGATGCATGGTATGGTATGGTAAGGTATTGATAAGGTATGGTAGGGAGTGGCATGGTATTGGTATGGTATGATACAGTATGGGATGGTGGAGGAAGCGGGAGGAGGAGGAGGAGGAGGAGGAGGAGGAGGAGGAGGAGGAGGAGAGGATGTTCTGGGAAAACAAGAACCCCACTCAGGATGTGGGGAATAAAACATACCCCAGAAATAATCAAAAAAACATCAAACAATAGCCTGGGAACTATTTTTAAAAATATTTTTGACATTTTTGGGAACATGTTTTTCGTATGTTATATTTTTGGTCGAAGATCCCCTGTATGGGGGACACGCCCGACATAAGCCTAATTGGGCAAACCCTTATGTGCTTCGTGCCCCCTGGGAAGCCCCACCTACAGCCCCACTGCGAGTGCTTGCACTCGCTCATCCAGCCCAGTTCAGCACACCCCTCACAAGCTTCGTGCCCCACAGGGAGCCCCCGCTACGGCCCCAGTAGGGGTGCTCGTATGATCAACCCGTTCAGTGCGGCCCACCCCTCACACGCTTCGCGCCCCAGGGCTTTTTGCTCGCGCTGGCTGACCAGAACACCCGCGCGACTGCATCTTTCTTCTGTTCTGTCTCCCCGAACACCCCATCCTACTCCCACGGCCATCCGCATCCTCATGCCCGCCCGTTCTCCTTATTTGTATGTGTCCCCATGTGGCCACTTGACCAGCAGACAGCACTCGGACTGGGAGGTTCCACCGGACCTATCAATAGCAGTGCCAGGTGGACTTTCAGCATTGACGTTGTGTCTTCGGCGTTGCAAGATGTGCGGCAGGAGTGTGACGGGGAGCACGTCCCACACGAAAGGGCGAACTGCCCCTCTCGCCTCGACGCCGCGCAGATTTTGTGAGCAAGCGGCGCTTCCGCCTCGGCGCGGCGCGGTGCGCGAGCGGGCGACTTAGTGCCCTCGCCTAGCTCCGTGCAGACTTCGTCGTGAGGTGGCGATCCCGTGTGGTCACAGCGCATGCTTCGCTCGCCGACTCTCACGACAGCGGCAGCGGGGCCACGCAAGAGCGGGCGACATGGAATCTTCGCCCCAGCGCCAGATCGTTCGTGCGCGAACGCGTCGGTGATGTCTCGGAGCGGCGCAGGCTCCGTCTTCGCTGGGCTCGTCAGGAACCTGCCCGCCCCAGAGGCGGCCAATCGGTGCTCTCGCTGCAGCGCCGCGCAGAGCCTCTGGAATTTTGCTCCCGCCCGTGCTCGGCCCGCGTCTCCCCCCTTGCCGGGACCGTCGGAAGCCAGACTTGGGACGATCGCCTTCCGCTCGCCAGGTGGGAGCGCGCTTCAGTCCCAGGATCATGCTGTGCCATCATTCGGTCTTATCTTACGGGAGGGACGGTGGGAATGGGCAGGGCCCGCTGACTCGCTCGATCCAGCTGAATTGATCAATCTCCTACTGCTCCTTGTTCGCCTCCTCCTGCACTTCTCGTCCCTGGGTCTTCTTGGGGGGTCTCTGGGCCTTCTTAATCGTCTTACGGTGGTCTGGGGAAGAGTGTGCCCACCTCATCTTTTTGCGAGTCCTTTTCCTACTCTTCGAGCTTGCTCTCTGTCGTCCTCTCAATCCTCATGGTTACACTCCTGTCTCCCATCTTCCTCCTCATCCTCCGCCTCCTCCTCCTCCCTCGCCTTCTCCTCCTTTACCTTCACCTCCTGCTCATCCTCCTCTTTCGCATCCTCCTCATCATCGAAATCACCCTCCCCCAACTCATCCCATGCCGGCCTGCGTCTCCATCACTCGCGTGGGGCTTGTTGGGACCCCGTTCGGGGTCTCCTGAGGCCTCGCGGGGTCTCTACCAGGACCCACCTGGTGTCCAAGGGCGGCGGAGGCTTTGACGTGGTCGGGGGGGCGGTGGTGTCCTGGGCGGTCTTTTGAGGCCTCCCCCCATTGGTTCCGACGTGTCCAGGATCTTTGTCCCAGGGGAGCTTCCACGAAACGCGTTCTCTCACAGATTGGGATGGTGAGGAGACGGGGGAGAGGGAACGCACATCGGCGTATAAGTCGGTGGATGACTCCGCTCACAGTCTGCGCGCTGCCCTGGTTACGTATCTAGGTCACCCTCCCAAAGACATGTAATGATGTTCTGCAACATCCCCGATGTTGCGGAACACCGCTATGGAACCGTACAATGCTGAGGACTGGCGAGTGCTGAGCCCGATATCCCTTCGCCACCAGGGAGGAGAAGATGTGACTAACGCCCCTGCCCACCAATTTGGCTAACTTCTTAGCCTTCTTGGCTACCTTCTTGGCCTTCTTTATTGCTTTCTTTTCCTTCTTGGCCTCCTGTTTCGCTTTCTTCTTCTCTTTCTTAGCCTCCTGGGCAGGACGGGCAACAACATGGAATATAAAAAACATTCGGAAGGACATGTACTAACAACCATGATTCCTGTTCATCGATCTCTTGCATCGGATCGATTGCCACGCGGATCGGAGCACCTCGGAGTAAGGACAGGACAACGAACAAGCATATTGAAACAACTCGCACGCGAGTTGGCCAATCCTGGCCAGGCGATGCTGTCGAGGAAGGTCATTGGCCCGCTGCTCGACGACATCTTTCTGAACTCTCCTGCTCCTGCTGCAATCACCGCCTCCTCCTCGACCTCCTCCTTCCTCTGCCTCTCTGCCCCGGCTCGCGTCCATCTCCTGCTCCCGCCCTGCCCCTCCCGCCACCCTCGCCGTCACCGTCTTCGTCGCGACTGTCGCCGTCTTCCTCCTCCGCCTCATCGTGGACCCGAATTCTCATCTCAATCCGCCGACCCCGCGGGGTCTCCAGGCTTTTGCACGCCCGAAATGGGCACGGAAAGAATGGGTACAATGCTCAACAACAAATGTTGTTCGAAACCAACAGTGGCCGCTGTTGGGCAGGCGGCCTTCTGTCTCGAATGGACACAGGCCGCGGCCGCGTGGACAGCGAGTCCTATTCAAAATGAACAGGAACTGCTGTTGGGCATCGTACTCATTCTTTCCGTAGCCATTCCGTTCGTGCCGAATTCTACGCTCCTTACTCTCCCCTGTGGGGGAGAGGGTGGCGGCCGCCCGGAGGACGCGCTCATCCGGGGCCCTTTGGGGCTGGCGGGCCCTGGGTGCTGCTCCTCCCAGACGGGCCCGGTGGCCTCCGAGACAATCCAGAAGGCGCTCGGTACAGTTTAGTACACATTCCAGGCGGGCGAAGATGGCCCCAATGTGACCCAAAATGGCCTCCGAACGGCTCAAGAGTCACTCAAGACGCCCAAAGAAGGCTCCAACCAGGCCCCCAGAAGGGCCCGAGGACGCCAAAACCATATATGTCCCTTTTGGACGTTCTGCAGGCTCGCCTCTTCTGGTTTCCGTCAGCTCCAGACGGCCCAAGAAGCGTCTAAGATGGCCCCAGGACGGCTCAAGGGGGGCCAAAATCAGGCCCCCCGAGACGGCCCCATAGCTCTTCGAGACATCCCTGTTGCGCCCGAAGTTGAAACCGCGACCGCTCAGAGCGGGCTCCAAGACGGCCTCCGAATGCCAGGGTGCTCCACGGAGGCCTCAGGAGGCAGCCTCAGGCCCCTCGTCCGCCTTCCCCTCCCTCTTCTCCTCCCTGCTTTTCCCCTCCCACGCGTTCCCCCGACGGGTTCCACAACGGCAGGGGCGACGCACAGTCAAATAGCTTGTCCAGACTTCGGCCCGCATGGGTGTTTCCGAAAGACAGGGGGCGGCGGTGATTCGCCGTAGGCGTCTTCGATGTGAATGTGCTTGTATACATGTGTATACAAATACATATACATATATATATACATACATATATACATATATATATATATAAGTGAGTCAGTGTGGGGGCCAAGCGGTCGTTCACTGTCCCTGGGTGCGTGGCTGCAAAGGAGGTTCCGCGGTGCGGATTGTTGCTGCTGTTGTCGTCGTCGTCGTTGGTGTTCTTGCTGCTGTTGCTGCTGTTGCTGGTGCTGTTGTTGTGGTTGTTGCTGCTCTTGTTGCTATGATTGTTGTCGTTGATGTGATTAATGCTGATGTGATTGTTGTTGTTGGTGCTGTTGTTGATGTTGTTGTTTTTAATTGTTAAACACTGCTGTTAAATGTGACTTGCCAAACGATTGTTATTATTGGACCCCCCAGGCGCCCTGGCGCTCTCGCCTCGGCGCCGGCTACATGTTCATTAAACATGAGGCTCACGCTCGAGCGGTTTGGGGGGCCGCCAAAACCGGCCCCAACAACAACAACAACAACAACAACGCTCCCGCTCGAGACTTCCTCCTTTCTTACCCAGAGCCACTGCTATGGCTCGCCGCCGAAAACCGCCGCCACAACAAAACCAACGCTCCCGCTCGAGACTTCTTTCCGTTTTACCTTGGGCTGGCGCGCTACTCTTTCTCTCATCGGCGCCGCCCCCAGCAAGAACAACGCTCTCGCTCGAGACTTCCTCCTTTTTTACTCAGCCAATGCTTTTGCTCGCCGCCAAAAACCGCAACCCCAACAAAACCAGCGCTCCCGCCCGAGACTTCCTCCCGTTTTAGGTTGGACTGGCGCCCAACTCTCTTTTGAATTGGCGCTGCCTCCAGCAAGAACAACAATCCCGCTCGACGCGTCCTCCCTTTTTCCTGAAGACGGTGCTTTCCGTGCCGCCGACAGCCCCCGTCCCGACAAAACCGCGGTTCCCGCTCGAGACTTCGTCCCTTCTTACTCAAGGCGGTGTTCCTCCTCGCCGCCGACAACCGCCGCCCCAACAGAACCATCGTTCCCGCTCGAGACTTCGTGTTGTTTCACGCTGGACTAGCGCCCAATTCTCTTCTGCATTGGCGCCGCTCCCAACAACAACAGCACCCCTGCTCGAGACCCCCTTCCTTTCTATTAAAGACCAGGTCGTCGCCTCGCCGCCGACAGCCCCCATCCCCACCAATCCAATCCTATCGCTCGATACTTCCTTGTGCTTTACCCTTGGCTGGGGTTCTACTGGCGGTCTCGCATCGGCATAGCAGGGCGCGGGCATGTGTGTTCGGGGCGGGCTGTGTTGAAATTCCCCGGAAGAGGTGCTTGCAATACTTCATTGGGCGGGAGATCTGGGAATGGGAATGACGGACCCCCGCGATAAAACAGGAATCCGCCATGATGGGGGTGGTTATCATGACGGTCGTATGCTGCGTGTAGAAGCATCGCGCACGAGGGTAAAATGATTGTTGTTGACTTCTCACTTCTGAAGAATAATTATTATTGACCCCTCCGCCTGGTGCACCTTGTATTCGATTGAGGAGCCCGCTTGGGTTCGCACCCTGCTTATTTGATAAATGAAAATCTTGAAACTCAAACTGTGTCGTTGGCCCCCAGTTTACAACAATAACGGCTCCCGCCTGATACTTCCTCACAATGCATTGAAGAATCGCGCGCTCGTTTGGGAAACCCTCGCATTTTATTCAGGAGTCGCGCTCTCGCTTGGGACGTCCCTGCACTGTATTCAGGAATCGCTCTGTCGGCGCTCTGGTGTCGCGCTCTCGAGGGGACTTGCTTGCAACTTGCCATGGAATAGCGCCCTTGCGTGGGAATTCCCGGAAATTCGCTCAAGCGCCGCGCTCCCGACACTCAGGCACCCAGGAGTCGCGCTCACGCTTAGGACTCCCTAACAGATTACTTAGGAATCGGGATCTCGCTGCCCTTCGTGGCGCCTTTTGCATCCCTTCGTGCCCCCCTCGCTGCCCTTCGTGGACCGTTGCAACCCTTCGCGGCCCCCTCATTGCCCTTCGTGGCCCCATATATGTATGCTCTTCGTGGCCCCCGCTCGTTCGCGCCCGTCGTGGCCCCATCTGCATGCCCTTCGTGGCCCCGCTGCCGCCCCTCGTGGCCCCGTCCTTGCCCTCCGCGGCCCACTATACGCACGCCCTTCGTGGCCCCCGCTCGTTCGCGCCCGTCGTGGCCCCATGTGCATGCCTTTCGTGGCCCCGCTGCCGCCCTTTGTGACCCCCTCGCTGTCGTACGTGGCCCAGGGCCCAGTTGCTACCCTCAGTGGCCCCGTCGTTGCCTTCTGTGGCCCCGCATTATCTGCCCTTCGTGGCCCCCGCTCGTTCGCGCTCTTCGTGGCCCCATACGCATTCCCTTCGTGTCCCCGCTATCGCCCTTCGTGGCCTACTTCGTGCCCTTCGTGGCCTTGCTGTCGTTCTCTCTCTCGCTTTCGCTTTCGCTCGTTGTCGTCGTCGTCGCCGTCGTCGTCGTCCTCTTGGTCGGTCCCCTGTCCGTCCCTCTTGGGGTCGGGCTGCCGCCGAGCAGCGCTGCCGCTGGCCAGGCCGACGGTCCGCGGCCGCCCCGCCGCTTGCCAGGCGGGGTACGATCGAAGACGAAGGCGGCGGGTATCGATGGGTTTGGAAAATAAGCGTTAACGGACAGTCGAGCAAATAAGAGCGAACAATCTGCAATCGTTGTTGTTGTTGTGGTCGTTGTTTGTTGCGGTTTGTCGTTTATTGTTTGTTGTGTGTGTTGTTGTGGTCGTCCCAATCGCGACCGGGCCCGCGACCCACGCACTTGCTTTGACGAAAAGTCCGGCGCCTGCGGCGGGTTTCTTCAGAGCCTGGCAAGCTGCCGCCCCCTTACTCTTATCTGCGATTGCGGGGTGCTCTCTCTCTATTTCTATGTATATATATGTGTGTATATATATATATATATATATATATATGGGCATGCGTGTGCATAACAATATAAACATACGTGTTTTGGGCAGGCGCCTCCTCGCCAATGCTCACTACGTTCAGACGCCCCTCAAAACCCCCAGTAACGTTTCCGAGGACAGGCGCCGCGGCCCCAGGGACGCTGCGCCTCGTCCGAAAGCATTCGGCCCGAATCGGGGGCCCCCCAGCCGACCACGTCGGTGGGCCTCCAAGGGCGGCCCCTGGCCGCAAGCCGCCATCTCCCGAAACGCTGGGGGGGACGCCGAGTGCACCCCCTGGGCTCAGGCACCGGAGTGGGGTAACACAAAAGCAAGCTACACAGGGTGGCTAATATGGGGAGGGAGCCTCAAAGACTACGTGTAGCAGGACCGCGATAGGCGCACCCACCCCTCTCGTATGACCATGCACGTGCGTGTATACGGCCGTGCGCTTTTTGGGCAGGCGCCCCCTCGCCAATGGTCACTACGCTCAGACGCCCCTCTAAACCCCCAGTGACGTTTCCGAAGACAGGCACCGCGGCCCCAAGGACGCTGCGCCTCGTCCGAGAGCATTCGGCCCAAATCGGGGGGCCCCCAGCCGACCACGTCGGTGGGCCTCCAAGGGCGGCCCCTGGCCGCAAGCCGCCATCTCCCGAAACGCCGGTGGGGGCGCCGAATGTAGCCCAATTTCCCACGCGTTGGCCCAACGGGCCGCTCTTACGCACCCCCCCCCGCAGCTCCACACTCCACCTTACTGGCCGTTAGGCCGGATCTATCGTAATTGTGAAACCCCCTCCCGCCGACCGTTCCGCCTCACCCTGTCACCTGCGCCCTCTCCCAGGGCGATCGGGGCGAGGGTTAGAGGGTGGGTCGGGAGAGGACCGCCGCCTCTCGCCTGCGAGAGGACTCTGAGAGGTGGGGCGGGTGAGAACACGGTCTCGAACTCTTGCTGCAACCTGTACCCTTCCCAAGGCACCACCGACACCCGTGACCACGACGTCCCCGGCGCGACCCCCCCCCCACAGCTGCGCCTCGCCAAAAGCGGGGGGGCCGCCCGAACGGCCCGCGACGGACCAGGACCCCCAGGAAGGACGCGGCGCGCCTCAGGCCAACGTTGGCTTGCCCATGGGCGAGACAGGAAGCGGACCTCTGAGGCCAGACGCGCGGGGAAGAAGGGAAGGGAAGGCCACCACCTCTGTGCTTGTGCGCCCTGTTCAGGACTCCGCCAACACCTGCGACCACAGCGCGCCTGGGCCGACCCCCAAGCAGCTGCGCCGAGCCAACAGCGAGGGGCCGCCGAATCGTCCCGCGGCGGCCCAGGTCCCCCACAGGGACGCTGCGGCACTCCACAGGCCAACGCCGGCTTGCCCATGGAGCGCATCAGGAAGAGGACCTCGAAAGGCGGGGCGGGTGGGAAGGGGGCACTGGGAAACAATGCGAGAGTTTTAACACCAGAAAGGAGGTGATGCTGCACTAGGGCAACTTGGAGAAAAACCGCAGGGACGGGGGCCCCTGTCGGGCGAAAACTTTTGCGCGCCACCGCGCTGGACCCGCTCGCAGGCGGCCGGCGCGTCCTTGACGCATGCTCGGGCTGCGGGGCCAAAGTACCTGGGTTCTCGGGCTCGCTCTCGTACCGCCCGATGGCGCCCTGCGACGGTCGGCGCCAGCTCCAGTGCACGAGCTCCTGCATCCCCAGCGGCCAATGCAGCGCCGTCGCCTCCAGCAGCACCACCTGCGCCAGCCGTGCGACGACGTAGACGCTGATATTGCCCCCCGCGACCACGGTGAGCGCGCGGCCCCCAGCTCACCCAGCGCGGCTGGGGACGTCGGCAGGGCGCCAGGAGGGACAAACACACGGGGAAGGGCTCGACGCCGAGGGTTCTGCTGATCTCAGCCCCGTTGCCCTCCGCGATGCTCGCGACGTTCTCGACGGGCCACTTCTGCTCGTGGCCGAATCCCGCCCTGAGGAGCTCCAGCAAGCGGGCCACCTCGTAGAACGAGTCGGACTTCGCGCCGTGCAAGCCCGCGGCCGACGCGTCCAGCCTGCCCAGGTCCTGGCGAGGGCAGCCCCATCGCCACGCCGAGGTCGACCTCGTCGCAGTAGGCGTGCCCCCGCTCGTTCCCGACAGCGCCCGCTATGAGCGTCACGTCGCCCCAGCCGAACACCTCTGGCCAACGCAGGCGCATCGCCCTGCGCGCCCTGGCGTCCGCCTCCGCCGCGATGCGGCCCCTGGCCCGCACGGGCGAGCGCGAGAAGGCCACCGGCTGACCACTCATCGCGTCGAACAGGCTGAGAAAGAGCGCTATGGGCGTCCTCAAACCCGCGGCCCGCAGGGTGAGGAGGTTGGCGACCGCTCTGGGCCCTGAGAGCTCTGCGAGCAGCCGCAGCAAGGGAACCCCCAGGTGCATCTGCTGGCCCAGCGTCGGGGCGCCGCTGAGGCTGGCCTCCGCCTGTGCTCGGAAGCCCACCGGCGCGCGCCCGTCGCCGCCGAACTCGGGCGCGTCCGAGACCATGGCCACGCCCGCGATCTCGCCTCGCAGCGAGATCGCGGCCGTCGGCCTCACCAGCATGGCGGCCAGCAGCTCTTCGGGCATCGCCGCCGAGAACCTCCTGTTGCCGCGCTGCGAACTCAGCCTCCAGACCTCGTCGATCACGCTGAAGAGGGGCCCCGTGTGACTCGAAGGGGCCTAGCGGAGCGCTCGAGCACCGCCGCTGCAAGCAGCCATGGCACGGCCTCGAGCCTGATGGGGGGTCAAACACCGCGCGATCGCCGCGCGCGACTTGGCCAGGGGCGCGCCCGGGCGGCTCGACTTGCCGTCGACGTCGGCCCCCATGCGCTCGACCGCAAACTGCCTGCAGTGAGCTTCCTCCGCCGGGCAGGCGACGCCAGCCCTGTCCTAGCACTCAGCCAGGCTAGCTGGCTCGCGCTCTCGCCTACATCTCCGCCAGCGAGCCCAGCAGGCGCCCGTTGCGCGCGCGTCCTCCGCGATCTCGGGCGCGTCGAAGTCGTCGGTGCGGACCTGCCGCCGCGCCGAGCTTCCTTCCTCTGCAGCAGCGGCGACGGGCCGCGGCGCGCCCATGCCCCGCGCCGCCTGCGGAGGCGGCGCGGGGGCAGCATTGCGCCCAGCGGCGGCGGCAGGCGGCCCAGCCGCCCGTGGGCGGGCTGGGGCCCCGTGACCGCCAGAGACTTGCCCATCGCAGTCACCGCCGCCGCGCGGTGCACCGCAGGCCCTCTCCGCTCGAAGAGCGAGCCCGCCAGTGGGCGCCTCGCTGCCGCGTGGTGGCGCCATTCACGGGGGGCGCCCCGCGCGAGGAAGGGCCCCCATCTTGTCGCCACCTGACCGCAGGAGCAGCTCCCCCTTGGGGGCGCACAGCGACGCCCAGCTCGTGGATCCAGCAAGCTCGCCCGCCCCCCCCGCGACGGGCTCGATGGGCGCGCTGCCGGGCGCCGTGTCCAGGGTGGGCCTCGCGACGCGGCTGGCCCTAAGCCTTGGCGTGCCCCGCCTCCCGCGCGCGAACCCGTTCAGCAGAGCCTCGCCGCGGACGCTGGCCCTCTCCCCGGCCGTCGCTGACCCGCGTCTTCGGGAGGGTCGGGCAGGCCTGACCCAGCCACGAGCGCCAGCGCGGGGTCGGCCAGCCCGCGCGCCACCTCGTCGTCGACGAGGCCGATCGCGCGCAGGGTCGCCGCGGCCGCGCGGGCCCGAGAGGCGACGGCCACGGTCGCGAAATGCTGCTGGGCCAACTCCGCCGCCCGTGAGCGGGCGCGCCGCAGGGCCGTCTCCCGCGCCCGCCTCGGCGCCGCCCCGAGCCGGAACGATTCTCGAGCGACCCCGCAGCGCATGTGGTCGGGGCCGACCTCGCTTATGTAAGCCCACGCCTCAGCCGCGGCCGCCCTGGCCGACACTGGCGAGCTGGGCGTGGGCCGACACAGCGAGCTCCTGGCAGTCTGGGCGCGCCTCGCAATCTCCTCGAGGGGCGGGCGGGGGCAGCGGCGGCAGGTCCCGAACTCGGGCCTTCGCACCGCTCCTCTCGAATGGGGGCGCCTGCCCTGCGAGGCGACCCTGTGGGCCGGGATGCGGCTGCGAGGACCTCGCGAGCTTGCCAGCCAGGACGACTCGCCGCGCGGGCCGAACGCACTCGGCGGGCGACCTCCTGCGCCACGTAATCATGCTCTCCGTCATCTCAACCAGCGGCAGCGACTCAGGCAGCGCCACCTCAGCCCCGACCGCGCTAGCCGTCTCGGCCAGGGCAGCGCCTAGCTCCAGCGGCGGCAGCGCGTCGCCCGTTCCCGCTGGCGGCGCTCGGTGTTGCTTCACATTTTCCGCTTCCGCCGCGCGCAAGGGAAGTCCGGGCCGCGCCCGACAACGGCGCCTCGGGCGGGGCGACGCTCAGCGCTTCGCCGTCCAGGGGCCGCGCGCCGCCGCCTGGGCAGGGGGGCCCTTCCACTTCAGCTCGGCGACGACGCTCGCAAGGCATGCCTGGCCCCCCAGGCCCAACTCGCCTTTCCACGTCGGGGTCGCCGCGGGGGCGACGGCCCACGCACCCGCGCAGCCCCCCCTGCGCTCCTCTGCGGCGCGGGGGGCCCTCGAGCTCTTCGCCTCGGCCGGCTCGTCCCCCGGCGCCTCCCGAGGCCGCGGCGGCGGGTCGGCCTGGCGGCTTGGCGGCGAGCTCGCCCAACCTGAGCTCGCCCGCCTGGGCGCACCCGATCAGCCCCCCCTCCTCGCCCCGCAGCGCGGTGGGCTCGCCGCGCGGGGGTGCGAACTCCAGGCGCTTCACTCCCGACCAGTTCCCGTCGGGGGGCACGACTCGGAGCGCCATGTTCCGCTGCGCGAGCAGGTCCGCGACCCCCGCCGTAGGCGCCTGCGCCAAGATGCCGAGCGCCTCGGCGAGCGCCCGCAGCTCGCGGCGCGCGGGCCCACTGATCTCCCGCACGGGGTGCCGTGGGAGGTGCGCCGTGGGAAGCCGCCGTAGCACGAACGCGCCCTGCGGGTCGACGGCGATCCACCCCACCTGCGCGCCGTAAAGGTGCGCCGGCTGGGCCAAGCTCGCCTCGGTGAGGCGCCCAGGCGGCGCGGGGACCACCTTGCGGCAGTGGGCCTGCCTGGACACCAACCCGCGTGGGGTCAGAGATCCGCCCGTGCCCGTGGCGCCCTCGAGGCCAAGTTCCTCGCCGTTGCCCTGGCGCCCGTCCAGCAGCCGCGCGAGGACGCTCACAGGGTCCTGTGCCGCGCTGGGAGCGTCCGCCGTGGCCACCGCGTCCTCGGTCGGCTACCGAGCGGGCGGGCCGCGCGCGCCTCCCTCGGTCGGCGGAGGCCCTGCTAGCAGCCTCGGCCCCCAGCGAGCGACCTTCGCGGCGCGCTCCGAGAGCACCTCTGCCAGGGGCCGCTTGACCACTGGCCTCGCCCCGGCCGTTGGTGCAGCCCGCGCCACGCCCTCGGCGGGAAGAGCGACAACCCTGTCGCGGTCCCGCAGCGCTGCGAAACGGTCCCTCGACTCCACCAAACGCGAGCACAGGGCGGCCACTCCCTTGGACGCGGAGAGCACCGCGTCCAGCTCGCCGAGAGGGTCCTCGCACGGGTGGGCGCCGGGGCCCAGGCGGCGGCCCCAGGAGGTGCTGCGGCCACACCGCGCTTGGGTTGGTGACCCGATGCTGCAACCAGAGCCCCGCTGCCGCCCTGGCCCTCAGCCGCACCACCTCCGAGGTGTAGACCGGCCCAGTGCAGTTCGGCGGCAGCACGGCCTCGCACAGCGGCGCGGGACCCTCGCGGGCGTGCAGGTGGGGCCTGAACGAGACCGCCCCACGCTCGCCCGCACACTGCGGCCACCAGCTCCAGCAGCTGTCGTCGCTCCAAAGCAGCCTCGCGCGAGCGAGCCCGCCACGGCGCGAATGCCACCCGCGAGCGCCACGAACTGGCATAGCACCTCCAGGGCGCTGCTGTAGCCGTCGTGCGTGCACAACTCGCCGTCCACAAGCGCGACCAGCGCCACGTCCGTCTCCAGGGGCTCGTCGGCGCCCGCAGCCGCCGCGGAGCGGGCCTGCGGGCCCAGGGTGGGGGCGTCGGCTAGGTCCTCGTCGCCGCCCCCGTCGTGCCCGACCTCGGCCTCGGGTCGCCTCCGCCGTCGCGGCGAGGGCGGGACCCAACGGCTCGCCGCCAGCGCCGCCTCCGCCGCTCCCCCCTGGCCGCGCGCGCCGCCGCCGCAGGAAGGAGAGGGAAGCGCCCTCGGCGGCCTCCCCTCCCGCGGCGCGATCCAGGTCGGGCTCGCCTGGTGCCGCCCGGCCTCGCGCGCGCGCGCTGCCCTCGCAGGGCGCCCGAATGCGCCCTGGGCGCGGGGGCAGGCGGGGCTCAGCTGACGGCACGGGGACCGCCCGAATCCCCGCCAAACTTGAGCCTCAAGAGGCTACGTGCAGCAAGACGGCGATAGGCGCACCCACCCCCCTCGTATGAACATACACATGCGTGTATACGGCCATACATTTCTACAAGTGGCACGTGTGCCCAGGCTCATACAGCAAAAACGGAAAGGGCGTTCGAAGCAGGAAGACACCATGACTGCAGGATCGGAGATGGAGAAGGGGAAGCTGGGGCGGCGCCGCCAGGGCGTGACTAAGAGAAGGGGAAGAGGCAGGAGGTGAACGCAGAAGAATCTAAGATCGAGGTCGCACTCGAGCGCAAGTGGGGTTGCCACACCTTGCGATGTGTGTACCAAGGCCCCCCAGGAAACCTCAGGAGGCCCGACTTGGATACCGGAAGAGGCTCCAGGAGGCCCCGGGATTGTGAGTGTTGTGTGTGTGTGTGTGATGTGTGTGCTCTGTGTTGTGCGTGTTTTCTGTGCGTTGTAGGTGATGTGTATGTTATGTTTGTCTAGCGTATGATGTGTTGGGTGTGATTTGTTTCTCAGTGTGTGCATGTAGTTCTGAGGCCCCAGGAGGCCCCAGACGGCCTCAGGAGGCCCCAGAAGACCCCAGGAGGCTCCAGGAGGCCCCAAGAGGCTCTAGGAGGCCGCAGGAGGCCACAGGAGGTTCCAGGAGACCCCCAGGAGGCTCCGAGGCGGGGTCTGGGGTACCAGAAGGTACAGAAAGCCCCAGGAGGCCCCAGGAGGTTCCAGGAGGCTCCCAAGAGGCTCCAGGGCGCGGTTTGGGGTACCATAAGGTACGTCGGTGCCCGATTTTGGGAGGATGTCTCAAGCGAAATCGCCATTCTCTGAGAATCGGGGTCAAAATCATTGAAATTACAATATGTTTTTGAAGGTTTTATGTTAGAATGTTGAAATTCCCTTGTGTTTTTAGACCCTGACGTCACGATCTGCGTGAGGGGTGCCACCGATTTTCAGAATTTCGAGGATGTCCCTAGCGGAACGGCCAGAAACATCGCGGACGCCGCCTTCAATTAATCGGCTCTGAGCTCTACTCCCTCGGAGAGGTGCGTATGAGAATACATGTATATATGTATATGTTTGTATAATGCTCACCTTAATGTCCTTCGCACTCCCTTTTCTCCACGCTTTCTCTCCTGCCTATGCGCTTCCTGCCTTTCCGACCCCGCCTGTATGGAGACCGAGGTGAAGTGGAAAGGCCCGGAATGTACGAAACATGATCTGTCGGTACAACTGTTGTCTCTGAGGTTTCCAAGTCTCCCCGACGGATGAGGCGGCGTAAAAAAAGATGCCGACGCAACATCCTTCGTGACCTTCGAGATCTTCTTGTCCTTCTTCGCGCTCTCGTGCCGCTCGTCGCACCCTGGCGAACCCAAATACCCGGCGGAACGATGTGGGCCCCAAGACCTTTCATCACGGACATGTTGTTCCACATTCCTGGGGCCTGGAAACGGCATCCGACGGCCAAGAATCAAGAACATTGTGCTGTGCCTTGGACGTCTGCGAAGAAAACCCGGCACGCTCCAACACAGCTCGCCAAGGCCTCCCAGGCCTTCGAGGAGATCTGGCACGCTCGAAGTGAGGACGAACACGAGTGGGGACGATACCCAACAGCGCTGCCTCCAAAAGCGGGACAGCGGCGCGAGTTCAAAATAACGATCACAGTGACACCGACAGCGAAACATGTTGAGAAACACTGCCGGGAGGAATGCCGGTCGTCGCTCCGTGACGCCCAGATTTCGACGGCTCTGGCCTCCGATCCTCGCCACAAGTGCCTGGCCCTTTTTTTTTTCCTGAGCCTGCTCGTCTTCCAAGCCAGGCCGGCCGCCACACGGCCAGCCGACCTCGTCTCCTCCGCCTCCGCCTCTCGCCAACCCACTGAGCGCCCCCCTTCCAGTGGAGGAGGCAACAGGAGACGAGGGTGGAGGTGAAGGGCCTCCACCTCCTTCTCGCTCTACGACCCCTACCCATCATCACCCTCTCCTCACACTCCTACCCCCCGCATCCCTCTCGTCGTCCGCCCCCGCCCCCCTCTCTCCCTCCCTTCTTCCTTCCTCTCAATGCTGCTGCTGCTCTTCCTCCTCGTGACGTCATCAAGACGTGCGCCGTGAGCTCGCATATGGGCACCATCGTTCCTTACTGCGAAGCAGGAGGCAATGCCATTTCTCGTAACCCGAAATGGTTTTACGTCCTTCATCGAGCGACCTCACGTTCAGACTGTCAGAATGGCCGAGCAAACTAACATCAACAAACCTACGTGAGGACCACAGACTAACCGCTCCTTGTTCGCGTGCCATTGTTCACAGGGTTCAGACGCAACACTGCTATCTACCCATCCATTGTGTCAAACATCAGACGCCCACGAGCATGAACACGCTTACCATAATGCACTCCGCCGTAAAGAACAAGGTACAACGATACCGTAGGCCGAATGCATGGACTTTGTGCGGGATCGGGCACAATAAGAGACCCCGACACCATGCTAAAAGAGACCGTGCTCGCACATATCATGATCGTCGCATGCACGGTTGCGTCATTAGTATCGACTACACTTAATGGTCTAACTCCTCGAGCTATACATTCATCCCACACGAACCCACTATCAATCCACCCTGTGCTTTGCTGGATGGAGCCCTGCGCACATTTCACATCCTATTGCGCATTACATCTTAACACATCCACTCATCAATCTGGCGTGTTGGCGTGAACGAATTTAATTGAAACCCTGCCGTGCGAGTGGGATTCGCTATGCGCAAATATTCTAGCGACTGCGCAGACATCGCCCGCGTGCCAAAACATACAATTGACACTTCGTCCCGCCTCGGGCAGCAGCTACTCCTGATGACACGTCGTGCAACATCGGTTTCGTGCGTACTCGCTTTGTATCCCTGCTCGGCTGTCCGACACGCGTCGCACGATGAGTGCCACGACAGCCTCCTGTGTGCATCCTTCGGGGCACGTCCGCATACCCATCTCACAGATCCTGACCAGGCCCATCCTGGGAACAGGACCGAGCATCCTGGACACAGGATCGGTGTATACGCCCGCCTGACTTGGCAACGGAGGCAAATACGCTGGCCAGTGGCACATCGGGAGGGGCAAAGAGGGGGGGGGGTGTCCAAGAGGGGGGGATGCAAATCATGACTGGCGGCATGTGCGCGGCCCAGCGGGGGGGGCCGGGGACGTATTAAAACAAGAAGAGGCGCCATGACATCTGGGGAAATATCATGGCCCACGCCATGATATCCCCCCCCCCCTAGTCATCACCCCCCTCTTTTCCGCCCCCGAGCACAGGACGGGCCTGGCCACAGTTGGCGTCTCCCCGGTCAGGGGTGCAACCATCCTCCCCCGAGACAAGGCCTACAAAACTACAGCCGCTGCCTTCCGACTGCCGCCGCAGCGACCGCGAGCGCGAGCGCGACCGCGAGCGCGCCATGGCCCGCGCGCGCGCCGCCCTGAGCGCTGCTTCAAGAAGACATGGGAAGAGGAGGAGCAGGGAGGATGATGGAGGAGGCAGCAGAGGGCAGGGGGAGGGGTAAGCGATCCTGTCTTGTACTGCGCAAGAGTAGACAGGGCAGGGAAATGCGACGGTGGGCTCCGCCCCGGCGCCGGATGGGTCATGGCTCACATGGGTCCAAGATTATATGTGCGTAGCATGGGTCCCAGACGCCCCACAAATGAATGCACCAATATTGCCTCCAGTATGGGCCCAAGCGGCCCAAATAATGCTCCATGATGAATCTGGGGTTGATCTGGAACCACCTCGGGAAATCAGAGCGAGGCCAACATCAGCGCATCACCTTAGTGTTCGTGATGATAGTCGTTATCTCACCTGTTCATCGTGCGATGGACATCTGAGGCTTGAGAACGGTGCTGAAATGGCCCGACAGGGCCCAAGAAGGTCCGACAAGATCTCGGCTGAGAATACACAGAGAGAGCCGAGGCCCCGCCCAACGACCATTTTCGCAAATGCCCAACAAAAAACCCCAGGAGAGCTCCACAGGCTCTAAGAGGCCCTGGGAACGCCCCCGACACTGACACAAGGGCTCCTCCCGAACCCTCAAACCCGAGGCTCCGCCCAATAATGACTTTCATTCGTGGCTCGTCTTTCTGGAAGGCAATCTGCTATATGCTTTCCATGCTGTCCATTCTGGCGGTTCATTCATTCGCACAACTGATATCAATCCGAGTCGGCCAGATAGATAAACCACCCCGTGACCAGTTCGCGGCACCTTGCCGGATCATCTGCAAATGAACAGTGTTGCTCCAGGGGCGCGGAATTCTCCGAGCCCTGGTTCGTACCGTCTCTGCCCTAGCACCTGCAAAGGGAATCAGCCTCTTTCCTCTGGTATTAAGTCGGGCCTGTCTCCCTACAGGAGGATTTTCGACAACAAAAAAAATACCCTCAACATAATCAGAAAATTGTCTGGGGACTATTTTTGGACTATTTTTTTTAACCTGTTTGTAATATTTTGTGGGTATTTCTCCTTTTTGGTCGAAAATCCACCTGCAGGGGGGCACGCCCGACATAAATCTGGTATCGCGGGAAGGAGCCCACTGTGGCGACCCCGCACCCTGCTCGGGGGCCCTGGCAGGAACAGGCAAGAGGTCCCGGATGCTGAGAAAGATCAGGAGAACATCGGGAGCGGTCAAGAGGGGGGTGTCCAAGAGGTGGGGGTGCAAATCATGACCGGCGGCATGTGCGCGGCCCAGCGGGGGGGCCAGGGACGTAATGAAATAAGAAGCGGCGCCATGAGATCTGGGGAAATCCGCCGACCCTGTCGGCGTGTGGAAGACGCATCCCGGTGTCGTCGTCTTGCGTGGATCACCGTCGTCGTCGTCGTCGTCGTCGTCGTCGTCGTCTCCGTCGTGTCCTCGTCGTCTCCGTCTCCGTTGTCCCTCGTCGTCTTCGTCGTTCCCCGTCTCCTTGAGCGCGCGAGCCAAAGCGACATTGAGCAACGTCGTAGTTGAGTCGTGGCGAAGCCCCTCCCTACCCTCCCCGCCGGGGGGGGGGGGGGGTCGCCGGGGGGGGTCCCCGGGGGGGGTCGCCACCCAGATACGCATCCTCCCCGGGGGGTCCCGGAGCTCAGAAAAGCTTCAAGACGAGCCAAGAGCGACAGAAGACACCCCCGAAAGGGTACAAGAGGGCCTCGACTCGACGAACGATGGCCCCAAGACGCCCAAGACGGCCCGAAGACGGCCCAAGAGGCCCTCAAGACGCTCCAAGAGAGCCCCAAGAGCACACCCAAGAGGGCCCCAGGCGCCAAAATCGTCAATTTTACATAGGTTTTTGAATGATTTTGGCCTTCTCGCCTTTTCGGCTTTCCGACACTCCAAGACGGCCCAAGAGGCCCCCAAGAGGCCCCCAAGAGCGCCCCAAGAGGCCTACAAGAGGGCCCCAAGACGGCCCAAGAAGGCCCCAGGACAGCCTAAGAGGCGCCCAAGACGGCCCAATAGGGCCCCAAGACGGTCCCAAGAAACGGCCAAGAGGTGGACGAGAAACCGAGAATTCGAGACTTCCGCCCTAAGAGGCCCCCGGGAAGCCCCAAGAGGCCCCCAAAAGGCCCCAAGAGGCCTCCGAGCGGCGCCAAGACGCCCCCAAGATGCGCCGAAGACGGCCTCCGGAAGCCCCAAGAGGCTCAAAAGAGGCCCCAAGAGGCCCCACAACGGCCCCCAAGAGGCTTCAAGTTGCCTTCCAGACGCCCCCGAGAGGTCAACCACGAGATCCCAACCAACATCCATAAGGCCTCCTCCTCCTCCCCCTTCACCCTTCCTCCTCCTACTCCCTTCCGCCTCCTCCTCCTCCTCCTCCTCCTCCTCCTGCCCCCCCCCTCGTGTTGTCTTTCGTCATCTTCAGGGTCGGCGGCAACGGCCGTAAGGCCTTCGCAATATCATGGCCCACGCTATGATATCCACCCCCCCCTAGTCATCACCCCCCTCTTTTCCGCCCCCGAAAGAACAGACCGCGCAAAACCTTCACAGAGGACGCCGGGTAGTTAGCTAGGCCGCGGGGAACTTACTTCAGGACGTCCGTGCTGGGATCCTGGGCCGTAGCAGCTTCGTCTTCTTTCAATCTGGGGGCAACCTCACGTGCTGAACCATCGCATCTGGACGCTGAGGAGGGCATCGTCCAATCTTGGACCCTCCAGCCGTATCGGTCTCGCTTTGCATGGTCTCACACGCTGCGCACGTCTCTCGCACGTTCTCTGGCCAGCACCATGACTCAGGGCTCCCGATTCTGCGAGAAGGCTCTGACGAGGAATGGTGAGCGGGGAGGTGGACGAGTAGGAGGAAGGAGGGAGGCAGAAGGAGGGAGACACTGAAAAGGAGCACTGACGATATACACGAACGCAATGTCTGAACGCATTACATGGCGGTACAGAGCCCCTGGGAGTTTCCGCCGTGGTCCTAGTTGGTAACATACTGATTTTCGGAGCACTCTTACCTAATGGCGTTGCGCAGGAGGGTTCGGAGAGGAAAATGACCACCGAGGAGTCCCACGGGGCCACGGCGAAACGGGGAGCCCTAAACCGCCCAGTCTGGCAGCCGCTTCGCCCTTCACTTTCTCAATCTTTGTGCAAACATCCCTCTCTCGCCATAATGCCGGCTACATGTTTGTTCCAGACGTCCACGATCCATGATAAAAAAAAAAACGTGTACATGGCCGGGCGTTCGGGTGGCCGTCTTCGCCCGAGACTGCCTCACTACTTATTCAGAGTCTCTCGCATCCATGCCGCTACATGTTCCACAATAGCGTGTCGCTAGAAGTTTAAAATACTTGTAATCCCACCATCCCGTTGGGGCGTGAGTGGTTAGGGCGTTTTCTTTTCCACCCCCCTCTTCCGTTTCGGGGAGGGGTCCTCCCTCTACCCCCTCGATGGGGGCTCGCCGCGGGTCGTTAGAGCGTCCAAGATAGCCTCGGCGAGAAGGCTAGCGGCAAGCATCACTCTTTTCAAGCAAGGTTTTTGAGGGAATGTTGGTCTCTTGGGGGGGGTCTAATTGAGGCCTCCACTTCTTCGATCGGATCTCCTCCAAGATGGCCTCAGGATGGCCCACGAGGCTCCCAAGAGTGCCCCAAAAGGCGCCCAGGAGGCCCCAAGAGGCCCCCAAGAGGCCCCCAAGATGCCCCCAAGAGGCTCCCAAGAGACCCCCAAGAGACCCCCAAGAGGCTCCCCCGAGGCACCCAAGACGCTTAAAGAGTCCCCTGGGACCGCCAAGAAGCCCCAAAGATGCCCCACCAAGCCTACTGGAAGCTTTCCAAAGGTATCTGCAGAGGCTCCGAGAAACATCCATGAGGCCTCTGACGTTTCTGTTCGCCCGCCTCCTCTTCATCTTTCCCATCCGTCTGAACCTCTTGCTGCCTCCTCCCTCCTCCCTTCTCCCTCCTCGTCCCCCTCTTCCTCCTACTGCTCACTCATCACCTGGTTCCTCCTCCTACCTCCCCCTCTTTGGGTATGACGGCTGCCCAACCATGTTTCCACTGCATGCTCCCCCACACGCCTTATCAGGGCAAGCAACTCACCCGGGCATCGCTTCTGTGGTTGGTGGAGCTCTGCGAAGCACCTAGAATAATTGTAAAGAAAATTACAGGCGAATCTCACGAGGGGAACGGCGAGCCTGAGGACGCCGGGTTCATCAGCCGTTTCGCATGAGACGTCCTCGAAGATTAGTCACGAATCCCGCTCTCGCCTCGACACCAGCTACTATCGGGTCGGGCAAAAGGGGGGATAGCAAAGGGGGGGTTTCAGAATCAGTTCACGTGGCTGATTTTCCTGGCGACTCCCGGCGCCAGAGGCGGCTATGTATCGAGGAATGGGCCCCTCGGTGAGGCCAAAACCAGCTGCATGCAGCAAATTTCGTACCCCCCCCTTTCCCAATCCCCCCCTTTTGTCCGGCCCGACTCTCGCCTCGACACCAGCTACTAGTTTTTTGCTTCGGACGGCAACTACACATGGCCGTGCTCGCGCCCCTGTGTCGTCTAGCGTTCCAGCAGCCCGTTTACCGGACACTCCCGCGCGATCTACCCAGGAAGCCTGCAAACACGCTGAAACGCACGTGGGGTTGTAAAGGAGGTCGAATCCCAAGGACGGATCCCGCAATGGGGATGTGAACCTTGGGGGCGCCCAGTCCGGACGGCGATTTCGCTTTCGATTTCCCCCACATGTGTTCAAGAATCTATCGTTCTCGCCTCTGGTCCGGATTGATTTTTTGTCTGGACGGAAACCATCCCTTGCCGCGCTCTCACCCCTGTCCCTCTCCCTGCCGCTTTGCTGCTGTTGGGGCCCCTCGTTGCGTTAGTGCTGGACGGGGTACCAACATAGATACCCACGAGATTGCGAGCTCGCCTTGCCAACCAATCTGCGCTCATCCATGGCAGCCGGGTGTCCGTTCCTGCGGTGAGCAAGCTTTGCTTTGGGCGTTCACTGGCACTTGCGTGTTGAAGTTCATTGGGTCCAATGGTACAGGGC